GTTGATGGAGTCAGCGTTCGCTTTGTGTATTCCAGTTTGACTTTCGTCCCCTGTTGGCTAGCGGCCCTTGTAAGTAAAAAGTATCGAGTTAAAAAAATTGTTACTTCAAGTTAAAGTTAGAGTAGGTATTTAACAATTTCTTGTCTCGATATTTCGGAAAGAAATTCTTATGCGGCGCCAAAGTTGCGAAATCTTGTGGATATTGAGTGCAAGCAGTTTCCATTCATCACTAAACAAAAGTTGTTGAACTTACTCACATGCCCAAGAAAATGGAATGGAATTGAACTTTTATGAGAAAATAACTGCGCTTTATAGTGTTTGATTTATCTCTGTGTCGACATACTCAAGAAAGGAATTGTATCGGGAAATGAAGGTCTTTCATTATCTATGCACCAATGTCTTCAACTATGAATAAACTTTTCGTCAAAATTCAAACCTTTCAAGGTTTGAATTTTCTTGAAAAAAACATATTTCACAAAGTGTAAAGTAACGTAATGATATAGGATTTAATGTTGCGAATACTTCTCAAATATCGTTTTCAAGAAAGTTTGTGCTTCGTTCAAAAATGTGGCTTAGAACACGCCACGGAAATTGCGGAAGAACATTTCCGTTCTTCGCTTCACTTATCGCTGGATGATTAAAAAAGAAAAAAAAAAGAGAGAATCGATCTTTCAAACACAAAGGCGAATAAAGGTTGGTGTAACTATGCACAACAGTGACCGTGCAGGTTCAGCAAGCGATAAAAAAGCGAAAGAAAAATAAAAAAAAAACGGTTTACCAAGGGAGTCCGGTAAGATTTGTGCTCTTGTCTCAAGTGAACACGTCTTTCAGTTCTTATTTAAAGTTTGTAGAGCTGTTTATACACCACCAGAGGGAAAACGGTAGATATCTCTCAGCCAAGGATGCCATCTAGTTTTTCTGATGTGCCTCCAAACATCTTATGCGTGTTAAACGTTCAAGCAATGGACCGCACCAGTCTATCGGTTTACCGGCGTAATAATCCAGGCGGGATCGAGTCGAGAAAAGGTTTTTCAAATAAACGAAGCGAAGGACTTGCAACCTGTGCGAGTGTTCTACAAACATACCAAGTGGGTTAGGCCAATCAGATTGACAGGAAGCGATAAAAAAAGGGAAGAAAAATCGAAAAAAAAAAGTTTACTCAGATAGTCTAGTAAGATTTGAACTCTTGTCTCGAGTGAACACGTCTTTTAGTTTTTATTTTAAAGTTTGCATAGCTGTTTATAAACCACCAAAGGGAAAACACTCAGGAACTCTCAGCCAAAGATGCCATCTAGTTTTCCTGGTGTGCACCCAAACATTATATGCGTGATAAGCATTTAAGCAATGAACCGCACCTTCTATCGGTTTACTGACGTAAAAACCCACGCTTTAGGACACGAGAAAGGTTTTTCATTTTAAAAAAGCGAAGGATTTACAACCTGTGCCAGTGTCCTACAATTTTCTAAATCACAAGATGAATATGTACGTATTGTGTGAATGCTTTTATTTATTTATTTTTTATTTTTCCAGTAATAGGCAACAGATAGACAAAGTGGTTATAGCTTATTCGGTTCAATGGATGTTTAGTCAATCAGATTGCACATATCAGAGTAATTTTTGAAACGAGACATTTTTAATGCACTACCTTTGTTTCTTTCAGGTGTTGGCCGCTAGTATCATGGGCGTGACTTTAAGCGGCATGCAAAGACCTTCCTTAACTCTGGTACGAAATATAAGCTATATAAACAATTGTATTTACGCATTATGAGGGATCAATTCATTTTCCGCCAGGTGGAATGTACGTTAAATAATTCCCAGTAGATATACCAATACATAAACCTTGAGTCCATAAGAGAGGAAGTAGCAACTTTTTGTGATACCTTTTTTATTTTTCACTATTTGTTTATAATTTTTTTTGGCCCTTTGCAGATGAACGCCTTGCAGTCTGTGAGCGTAGCCTGTGCTGCAGTATCAGCGATAACCGTGTACCACTATCTGGTAGCTTTGTCCAGTTTGATGGCTTTGGGTTATACCTCAACGCTAAGGAGAGGTTACTATAATAAAGATCCCTTTTTCTTTGATTCGGACCAGCTGGCAGACGTAAACTTTACCGCAAAGCAAAACTCCATGGTGGCTGTATCTTCCCTGATCATCATATGCTCCATCATTGAGATCATTCTTGCGGTGGCAGCCATCAGGAGCAGTAATATAACTGGTCAGAGCTCGCAGGAACAGCAAGTAAGAGAAGTTGATGATTGTCAGATTCTTAACTCTAAACAAACTCGATTTTTCTGCGTCATCAACTCGAATCAAATTGATGATCAGTCAATTAGTCAGTCAGTTATCTGTCCAGTCAGTCAATTTTCGTCAAAACTTTTCGTATGGGCAATCAGACATCGACCTAATTAGTCATGTATTTAATCAACATGTTTGCCAGCACGCTATAAACAAACCAGTCGGAGACGTTTGTTTGCCAAATTGCCTCGACTACACGGTGTGTAAACGATATTTTACATTTATTGACCCAATTGAAGGTGAATAGTGGAGAGATTTGCCCAGCAGCGAAGCGACAACAATGATTATCTTAGTATCAGAAACAAAAAAAAATAGTGTGGTTTATACCAACACCGGATATTCCTCAATTTTAACGGATGCATAATGAATCACGAAACGCCTTTAGACTAATCGCGCAAGAGAAGAAAAGTAATGGACTAGAAGCAGGAACTATTACTTGGAGCCCTCATCTGCCCTGTATTTTTGTCACGGCGTTTTAACGGACAAGCCTATTTAAGTTTGAATTTATCGCGAATTAGGACTCCTCAAGAGAGCACATCTACCAATCAAGCGCCTGGTTAATTTCAAACTTTACTCGTTAATATATCGAAAGAAAAATGGCAGAGAGATGCAAGGATTCTTGCCATTGTCAAGAGTTAGGTTTATCTTCAGTAGAACTTTCCCCGGAACTGGTACTTCCCGAGGTATTTTCAAAATATTCACACCACAAGCGTCCCAAGCTCACGTCTCGAGAAAAAGCAAACGATTGATTCATGAAAGCGTCACGCGTTGTGTGACTCGGGGTTAACTTACGAGAGGAACCGTTGGGAATTTGATCACGTTACAAGGATAGCATGGGGAACGAAGTACGGTCAATTTACAACGATAAATATTTCGAAATATGAACATTTTACACGTAAAATCAATAGAATTTACTCACATCTTGTGTGTCTGTTGTGGTTTCGGGCATTCTCTACCGTTTTAAGCGTGCTTTGCCATCACTGTTATTCCTGTTCTACAACGAAATCATTGAAGTGTACAGCCTTGACCTCGTCATATAAAAGGAATAACAGTGATGGCAAAGCAAGCGTAAAACGGCAAAGAACGCCGGAAACCACAACGGACACAAAAGATGTAAGTAAATTATACAGATTTTACGTGTTAAATATTCATATTTCGAAATATTTATTGAAGTAAATCGACCATATTTCGTTCCCCGTACTACTCCGTATAACATGTTCAAATTCTCAACGGTTCCTATCGTAAGTTAACACCGAGTTACAGAACGCGTGACGCTTTCATGAATTAATTTTTTGCTTTTTCTCGAGACGTGAGCTTGGGACGCTTGTGGTGAGAATATTTTGAAAATACCTCAGGAAGTGGCAGTTCCGAGGAAAGTTCTAGTGAAGATGAACCCGACTCTTGACTATTCAATGATCAAAGCGACAATAGGCACCGTGAATTTTGTCGCCTGCAGCAATTTTAGATCGCACTTCACAAAAATAACCAAGATTTGACAAGATTGAAGCCCAATTCGAAAGATTAGCATAATCTTGCGATCTAAATAAAACGCTATTCATTTTGTTGCACCAGCTTCTGTTCAATCCAGCGTCGCAAAATGTTCTTTACGCACGGTGTGGATGAAGATTCTTGAGATGAAGACGACTCGCACATAGCTTGCTCAAGCAATTTCTTGTTTCCGCGCTCTCCATCATCGCTGGCATTGCGCCGCTTCATCGTCTTGAATTTGAACTCTTTTCATGAAATGTTCTTTAGCGGGGCCAGAATCAGAAGACAGATAATCTTTGATACACACGAAAATAAATTAATAAAAAAATTAAAATAAAAATATAACGATGATCCGCACTCCTGCCAATATTTTTCGCAAGTGTGATAAAATTCGCAAAGGATAGTGGGATATGTAAGGAAAAGAATGATTGGAATACTGGAATACTGGAATACAGCAAAAGATAAGCGGAATCTGCGTAGTTTTGATATGAAGACGTCCCCGCATAGGACCGCCATTTTTTTTCTTCGCGTTTCATGGATCGTGTTACCTAACTGAGCTCGAGCAGCCTATTTCCCGCGAAAGATAGTCTAAAAATAAACCGTTCCGTGAAAATGCTGTGACATAGGGTCAGTATGGGAGTTGGACGCTTTGAGTAATGGGCTCCTGCTACAAGTTTTTAAATAAACCAAGGTAATAAAACACATCATATCTCAATTCATTTTCAGGTAAGCATTTGCTATGGCCAGCTTGAAGCTGGTCAGGTGCCGATCCAAATGCAAGGGCAGCCCACCTCAGTTGAAGCCCAACCAGTGGTGGCTATTCCAGAATCTGGCGCTTGCCCAGGGTACACTAATAATTAGTAGCTACAGTCGAACCTTTATTAAGCCGTCACCATGTATTAAGATGTCAGTTGAAATTGTTGAAGTCCCGAATGTTTTATTCCTTAATCACTGTAAACTGCACCTATATTAAGCGGTCACGTCTATTTGGCGGTCGTAGTCACCGTTTACTAAGTCCCAACGGCCTGTTTTTTATTGTCTTTAACTTGTATTGAACGGTCACTTTAAATGGGACCACTCAAATAAAACTAAGAATGCTATTTTAAGTTCTTTTTAATCTATGTTTCACTACAACAATAAAAGTAATATTTGCGAGCGAGATTCCGCATATGAAGTGGTCAATTATGGCATAAAGTAGCGTTTTTACCGTTTTTAATAATACCTCTAAACGGTGGAACCTGAATCAATCTTTCAAACTGTATTAAGCGGTCGCTCCGCCACTCCCCGTGGGTGACCGCTTAATGCAGGTTCTACTGTATTGTGAACACCTTTATTAGCCCTAGAGGGTACCGTTCACCTCACAGTAGCCGACAGAAACTAATATTTTTGGTTTATGTATACGGCATATACTACTAAAACGATTATTCACCTCAGTATCAGTGAGAATGGTGGATATTTACCTCGCAGCTTCGCAGCTCGGTAAATGTCCACCACTATTCACCTGTACTTTCGGTAAATAATTTTTGATTTAGTTCACGGGAGTGGGTTTTGCGAAATAAATAGGGAAAGCAGATAGGGGAATGGTAAGGCGTTCGAGGGCCCGTTATTAACCGGATGATTGACAATTTCATCATGCATGTTTGATTTGCTCTTGAATTTTGCAGATTTACATCTCTGCGCTTCTGCTAAGGCGATTTAATTTAGCCTTGCATTATGCCGCCGGATTTGATTTCACTAAGCTTATACATTGTATGGATAATTTCTTTGCACCTGCATTATGCTGATTTGATAATTTCTTTGCACCTGCATTATCCTGATTTTCTCCGCACTTTCATTATGCCTATTTCAAGTGCACTTGCCTTGTGTTGTTTTGATTTACTACTGCACTTGGCCGATTTTCTTTGCACTTGAATTATACCTATAGCGACGCTTGATCGCCGCTAGCTGGACCGTACGAATCTCACTGATCGAC